ATATACAATCAGTTACTACCCAGCTCTGTATATATATATATATATATATATATATATATATATATATATATATATATATGCACATCGCATTGTATTGTGACTACTGTGTAGTAAATGAGAAATAAATTGTGAGACATTACGCTTTAAAGAGCACACAGTCAGATGGCTGGAAGCTCTCCTCACCTTCCTCCAGGGTCCTGGCCACTTTGATGTCGCTGTCTGTGCCTTGGAACTCGTTGAAGAAAGGTCGGACTTTGAACTCATAGGTCACGCCCTTCTTGAGCTGGGTGACGACTGCGCTGTTCTCCCCCAGGGTTCGAACCTCAAACGTGGCCCATTCCACCCACTGCTGAGTGCCCTCTGGGGACGGCCGGTACATCACCTTATAGCCCTGAATGTACTGAGACTGCTGCTCGACCTACAAGCAAGAACAGGGCAAAACTGAAGGACAAAATCACTTAGATGCTGTAAACGCCTGCTAATGATTACCGTTGGCATTGTCCAGGACTAGGAATTTTTATGGCATTTGTTGCTAGTTAGCTACACCATGGTTTATCAGACATACCAACATAGTTAAATATTATAAAGTGCAGTAACTTTTACAATTATTAAGAAAATTATAACATTTTATAATTTATAAAAGAATATTTTCATTTTTTATTGCAATATTTCTATCATTTTGGACGAAAGTCTTTTTTTTGTGGCTTTGCGGGTGTGCGTTGAAATACTTATCCTAGGTTTAATATACAAAAATCAACATTGAAGATTCAGATTTGAGCTTCTGCTGACTTCTAATGTGCAATGATTTTCATATCGGAGGTGTTCAGGACTGCGATCAGTCCGTATGGCCGTGGAGGGAGGAGAACTGTACACGCTTGTAAAGATTTTAATCAATTCTGGATCCGCCCCAATAAAAGCAGATGTCGTTTCAGCTGTTTCTGATTAAATACGTATAAAGTGCGAACGACCCAAAATGTTAAAAAGTAACATGCTGGGAATACTTCTGTTCTTGTGTGCATGCGTTTGTGGAGTGAAAATCTGTACAGAATTAACCTTGACTTCAGATGTTTAGAACATACTGTTTAATTAAAACTAAATGCATTTGTTCAATACCACATAAAACTTAAAATTAGTTAAATCTGTGCTTAAACTGAGATAAAAAAGCTAGTTGCCAGTGAGTTAAGATAAACTTAATTGACAAAATATTCTCTTTAAAGAAGTCTTATTATTGTTTTAAAATGTTCTAATTGTACACAATTTTGATTCTCAATTATGTATATCTAATGTTTAGGATGTTTAGTATTTCTCTGGAAAACAAGATAAAACACTGATTAAAAGAGGTCATTTGAATTCCACGTTATGACTAAATATTAGAATTCTGTCTTTAGTTCCAAACCTCAGATCACAAATTAAGATATTCTGATGAAATCAGAAGATTTGTTGCTTCATAAAATTAAGGTTAAGGAACCACTGATGTCACATGGACTATTTTAAAGATGTCCTTACTACGTTTCTGCGCCTTGAACGTGTCAGTTGCATTGCTGTCTATGCAGGCTCAGAAAGCTCTCAGATTTAATAAAAAATATCTTAATTTGTGTTCCGAAGAGTAACGAAGGGCTTGTGTGTTTGGAACGACATGAGAGTGAGTAATTAATGACAGAATTTTCATTTTTGGGTGAACTATCCCTTTAACAGAATTTTTAATTTTTGAGTGAACTGTCGCTTTAAAAAAAATGTGGCGGCACTCACAGTCCACTGGACTCTGACAGAAGATGATGAGAGAATTGTGGGATTGTGGAGGTGAATGACAACATCTCCCAGCTCCCTCTGGATCTGCCCATGGTCCACTCCTTGACTGGTTGGTGGGACGTCTACTCACATAAACAGACCACATAGAAAATATGAAGCACAAGCATACATGAACATCAAATACCCCAGAATAATACACAAAACAGTGATACCTTTCATAACTCTCACGAGTGCAATATTTAAAACGCGTGAAAGGACGCTTGTCTGGGAGGTCAAAGGTGAACTGACCTTGTGTTTTGACAGCGTCGCTGATGGGGCTCGGGTCGCTCAGGCCGTACGCATTAGCCGCTCTCACCAGGAACAGGTAGACGCCGCTGGGCTTCAGACCCTTCAGAACGAAGCTCTCGGTCTTCACGTGATCCGCGAGCGTCTGCCAGCTGCTGCCCGCCGCATGGCTGCCATCCACACCACACAAATCAAACGTCAGTTTACCCTGCGGCCCAAACTTTGTAGCGAAATATCGCAACTACAAACATTATTCCAAACAATGAGGTTACTGCAAAACTCAGGAAAGCACAGACGTGGGTATGATTATTTATGACATGCCGCAGCAAATGGACTGGGTATTTACAGAACCACCATTTGCTTATAAGGATATTCACAAATGTTTATAAAGCACACGCTCGTACAACCAAACCGACCAATGATAGATAAGTATAGTCAGAACTGATGATGTCACCTGAAGGCCTCTATGACGTAAGAGGTGGGCGTGGCTCCAGCATTCAGGTTGGGCTTCCAGGACAGAGACACAGAGGTGCGGCTGACGTCCGTGACTTCTGGTTTGAAGGGGGCGCTGGGGATGAGGTTGGGATCTGTGGGTCGGCCCGGCTGAACCGGAGCGCCAAACTCTGAAACCATAAACACATATGAGCATATCATCCTGTACAATGATTACAACAAAAACTTTTTTAAAAAAAAAATAAACATTTTTGTCTTGCTTTCCGGTCTAAATTTTAAATTAAAAAATATATAAAGATTCTTAAAACAAGGTCAATTTACATGGGAAGCAAAAGACTATATGCAGTATCAGACATTATATGAAATATTAAATAGATATCAAGTCTTGTTTTTAGAGAAATCAAACAAAATGTTGTGAGTTTTATGCTTAAAAAAGGAAGAAAAAAAAGACTTGTTTTCCCTTTTGAACTGTGTTTATTTTTCTCACACCACTAGCATGTAAATCTGGCTTTAAGGACGTTCAGTTATTTATGTTGAAAAATATTGAGAAACAAAATGTTTTTTTTTTCCAGTGCAGCGGCTCAAATCTGTATCAAGAAACAATTAAAACCAATTACAGGCATAGGGTTGGGTCCCGAAACCCGGTGCCAATATAGCACTGGTACCTATGTAACCGGTATGTATTAGAACCGAATCAGAACGCAGATTTCGGTGCCACTTAAATGCTTGAGTGATATTTGTTCTCTGGTTCTCCGAAACGGACGTAAGGATCACCGTCACCGCACGTGAAACATAATTTCCCGACTGAGAAAATTCACGAACGCAAGTCGGAAAGCTCTAATAATACAAATCCAACACATCTTTGTAGTGTCATGTCGTTTTCACATTCCGACTTAAAAGCACAACTCGGGAAATGAGTAGAACACTATAACGTTTTTACTCCACAACTGCTTCCTTTTGTGATCTGATGTGGCTTCTTGTCACAGAATGAGGCAGAAAATATGTTCTATACTGTAAAAAGCATATGGTAAGCAGGCATTGTCGATTAGCAATGGATTATAAATATACTTAATTATGATGAAAATACCAAAGATGGCTTGAATAACACAAACTGTACATTGTCGCAGTCGAGTGTTTATTGTCTTTGTTTTATCATTCAAACCGTTTATATTTTCTTATTACTCAGTTACAGCTATAGCAATGCCTTTGTCCATATTAGGGATTTCCTGAGTTCTATTCCTTATGTGATGCACATGTGGAGTTTCTGCGCGAGGGCGCCCTCTGGCGTCCAGTATGAATGAAACAGACATTAAATGTGTTTATAGCGCTCAATAATGGCCAATCAATCCTATATATATATTTTTTTTTTTAAGTATCGGTTCAGGCACCGGTACCATTTTAAAAGTATCGATTTGGCACCAGTATCGTAAAAAAAAAACGAACAATACCCAACCCTATACAGGCAGATGAAGGTTTAATTTCAAACTCAATTTTAAACTTAATTTCCTGACGTCCATTTCTCAGTGCCTCTCACTCTATTGTCTGTTATCTTGCGTTCTGTCTCTCTGTTGTACCTTGCACCTCCAGGTAAGCCTTCCAAGACGCCTCTCCGCTGGGGGTGGACGCGGTGCAGGTGTACATGCCAGTGTCTCCCAGCTGAAATCAAGAAAAGAAAATCCCTCTATTAACGCAAATATACACATATGCATATAAATTAATAATGATTTTCCAACATTCAGCTCCAAAATAACTCCTAGTTTGACACTATAGTGTCATTTCACACCAAATTACACAGTGTACATTGTCAAGACGTCTAATCAGAGTATCGCTTTCATATTGAAGACTGAACTTTTTTTTTGTCTGCTCGTATGTAATACGTTGATCAAATTACATTGAGCAGATATTCTTCCAATGTGTACTATTTAGAATGTATGAATTAATCAGCTTTTATAGATGATCAGATGTACACAAATATAATGTAAAGGTGGCATATGGAATGTCTGCATCACTAGCATTTGCAAACAAAACAAAACGAAACACAAAACAAAATAAAAATAGTAAGTTATTTGGTGGACTTACCATAAAAATGATGATTAAAAACAAACAAATAAATAAAATTCCTTAAAATAAAAAAATAAAATATAATTTTCCTAAACCTGTAGTTAATTGGAGGACTTACTAGGTAATCAAAATAATGATAAAAAAATAAATAAAAAAAAAACAAATGAAATAAAATAGTAATTTTCCCAAACCTGCAATTACTTGGAGAACTCACTAGGAAATCTAAATGAATGAATGAATCAATCAATCAATGAAACAAAAATTGTTAAAAGCGAGAAAAAAAAGACTAACAGACAAATAAGAACATTTACATGTATGTTCCTAGACAGTGCTTTCTTAGCACAGAATGACAATAATAGTGACTGTATAATGTAGTGTTGGTGTATGCTAATATCTTATAGAAAAAAAGATACATTTAAGAACACGTCAGCCGATCTGTCAGTCAATTTACGGAGGAGGTATGAAATTCACCAGAAATAGACAGTCTATCTGGAGCTACTGGTGTGCGTGTGTTCGCTTAATGACATGTTCATTAATGCGGACCGCCCGAAGCGCAACAGATAGAGACGCATCTCCTCATTTCGCTTTATCTCTCTATTCTTTAAAAGAAGCGAGACGTCGTCAAGTGAGACATCTATGTTAATTAAAGTCGTATTCTGACAGCCCATGCTGCGGGGACCTTTGACCCCCGTGCAGGGGGAACCCGGGTGCTCGTGTGTGTGTGTGTGTGCGCGTGTGCGGTGACAGGAAACACTCCCCTCCCCCTCGCGGCTGACGGGGGGTGACAGCAGGAGTGTGTGTTCACACATCAGAACCTGCAGGCTGACTGACGGCTCTCTGAACACTGGCCGTCTGTGTGTGAGATGATGATGTTGTGCTATAGTGAGGGATGAAAGAAAAGCCTGTCTGATGCTGTACGACACACATGTATGTCTGTGTTCACTCACACACCAACAAAAGCACAAACCTTCAAAGACGCATGCATAAACAAGATATTAGGACTGTTTTGCAATCATTAGCAAATTTAAATCATTAAGGATGTATGATCATATATCAATATAGCAATACTGTATCAATACTTTGGACCTGTATTATTATTATTAATATTATTATTTATTTATTTACAGTGAGGTACTGCAAAAATTTGTATTTTTGTCCAATAAAAACATGCTTAAAACAAGAAAACTACCTTGAGATACAAAATTCCAGATGATGTGATATGATAATATATGAAATTAATGAGATATTAAGTCTTTAGAGAACTCTTAAATGTTATGTGTAAAATATATATGTATGAATATATATATATATATATATATATATATATATACATATAAACAATAAAAACTAAATAATTTTTGTCAAAATAATTGTCAAAATTGTAAAAAAAATAAATAAATAAAAAATAAAAAAAAGTTTTCCCCTTAAATTACATTTATTTTCCTTTTTAAATTACTTTTTAAATAAAATTAAATTACGGCTATTAAAGTAATTAAATAATTTTCAGTACCCAGTCTCATTAATTAACTAATAAAGTTAATAATGTTAATAAAATAAAATAATAAACAAAGCATGCTATTTAATAGCCACATTTTTATCACGGTAATCATTTTATTATTTTCTATGCCCTCGCAAACAACTAGTATGTGGTAAATCTGTGGAAATGTTACCCAAACGTGTGCGAAAATAATTCCCAAAACAATATTTTTATAAAGGGAGCTGTGATTTTTGATTCTTGCAGTGCTGTCTCAGATATCCGGGAATAAAACAGCTAACAGCTCAAAAAAAGATCTGCCAACTTCAGCTCAGAAAGAAACAGCAGCTAACCGCATCCAATAAACCACCCTGCCGCATTCAAAAACCTCCATGAATAAAATATTAATAAAAATGAAAGCGAGGCGTTGGGTCTGAGACGAGCGGCACAGCACAAAACTGCTCAAGATTCCCTGTAAATAGTTGTTCTGTGCGGTGTGTTTGGAATGGAAAATTCCATAAAAATCTGTTACTAAGGAAAACCGAACAAAGGAAACAGTACTTTACGAGAACAAGTTGGTTTGGTGCAGCAAACGAGCACATGCTCAAACCTCCATACGTGAGCGTTTTAATGCATCATGAGGGTCAGAGAGGAGTTTCAAAGCTATAAATCCACCAAAGGAAAAGGTTCCCATGAACCGGAGTCACATCCCCTGTTACTGTACATTTATCTGCATGATAAATATGTCAGGCTTTGATGTGGTTCTGACCCCTCAGAGCCACCGTACCTTGGCGTAACGGATCTGCAGGGCTCCTGTGTCCAGCTGTTTGAGGCGAGAGTCGTGGGTGGACACCAGGACCCCGTCTTTCCTCCACAGGATGGTGGGAGTCGGCGTGCCGGTGGCTTGGCATCCCAGGACCACCGTCCCATCCACAGCCACGGTCTGGTTGGTGGGACCCTGGCGGACGATGGGTGGAGGTCTGTCTGAGATCACTGTGAGAGAGAAACCAATCATTTTCGTATAGGAGCATAATAACAGTAACAAAATAATTGTATTCCTATTATTCATTAATATCATGTTGAGTGTTTATTGTATTTAGTTTGCAAATGTTATTTAATAGTATATTATGTCATTATTAAATATATTAACAATACCTAGACCATATTATTTTCTTTCATTCTTATTACTTTATTTACATTTATTGCTAAAATAAATCCATTAATACATTCTGCAATTAATTAATTAAAAAGTAGAATAAAATAATAAAATAAAAATAAAATAAACCCACTTTCAGATCAGAGCCGAGCAGCTGAGTCGGCTAAAAACACATCTCTTCCATCTTCATTTGACCCTCTAAGTCTAACGCTCTATTTTAATTCTATTTTTAATTTAATTTGTCAATTTGTTTTCTTTTTTAATTATTATAAAAAATAACTCTAACGCTAGCATTCCCTATTCTTTTTCTATTCTATTTATTCTTATTTATTATATATAAAGGCTAACTGAGACTTATCACAGCTGTTAAATATTATTGCTCTTTAGATGATTTTGATTGCTTCTATTGTCCTCATTTTTAAGTCTATTTGGATAAAAGCGTCTTCTAAATGACTAAATGTAAATGTAAGATCAGTGATTGCCTTGTTCTAGTCCTCATAATAAATAAAAAAATATTGATTGTTACCTTTTTTTTTCGTCTTTATTTTTTTAAATAAAACAAAATAAAAATAAATAAATAAAATGGATCACTTTAAGATGAATCGCTTTGTTGTATCAATGAGCATCTGCAATCACTTAGCGTCTGCAAAATAAATATATGTATGAAGCAAAATAAAATCAAATGAATGCATGCATTCGGCTAAGCTGCAAAATAGTTGGCGATATGAATCTAAATGATCTATAACGCCACTAAAATGCATTAAACTAAAAGTGAGAGACCGAAAGACAGGATGAGACAAAGAGGAAGCGAGACAGAACGAGACACAGAGTCTTAAGACAGAGTCTAATATCATTATAATAACTATAATAAAACACTAGAGCACTCCAAACCAAAATCCAAAATACATCCTTCCACATTTTCTAAGAGCCACAGAAGCGAGCGCGTGTACGGTCAGAGGTAAAGAGAACGAAGAACGCAAATAAAAATAAATGTAACCAAGGAAAAAGAGCATGTGAGAGAGGAATGCCTGGCACCAAACGAGCTGAGTACATGTTTTACGAACGAGAGAGAGAGAGAGACTTCATCACTTACATTATTTATGATATTTACAAAAAAGAATATTACAATAGCAAAATGTGATTAAGTATAATTAATTGCATCCTGGCGGAAAAACACCTGAGCTGTATTGTGCTGTATTGTCAAAACTTTTGACATGGCTACATGAAACTAATAGCCAGAAATCTATGAGTAACGACAGAAAATGCTATGTTTATCTTTCTAATGCCCATCTAGAAAAGGTTCATATGTGTTTTACAAATAAATCCATAAGTAATATAATGAGTAAGTCATTTGCAGTGCCAAACGGAGCAATTAATTGCAATATAATTAAACAGTATATTGCAATCAATGTAAAATATGTATGCACATAAGCACTTTTGCGCTCACTAAGGCTTCATTTGTGTTGAGTGCGTCCATCTCACCGTCTGTAACCTCCAGCAGGGCTTTGGTGATCACACTGCCAGCGATGTTCAGAGCCTGACAGCTGTAGTAGCCTCCGTCCGAACGCTCCACCGCTGTGATGGTCAGATCGCCCGTCTGAGAGACAGAGAATCGACTGGAGGGAGGAGGAGGTTGAGAGGAGAACAGAAGGTTCTGGAGAGGGGAAAGAGGAAAAAGAGGTAGAATTTGATAACAAAAATATAAAAACATAAACACTAATTACTGCAAGAATATTCAGTGTGTGAGAAATATACATCTTGTCAGGACTTGCATGCTCACACTAGCTATTGGCACGGTGTGCCTGAATTCCTGAGTGTGTGATGAGTGATATTGATCAAACCAAGATGACTTGAGGTGTGTTAGAGGTGTGGAGTATTACAGAGCCCATTAGATGTGTGTAAATGTGCAGATGGCCTTATAAATCTACCAGTCTCATAAATCTGACTGACTTTAATGGGGAAGAGTGCCATGCATTTTATATGTTACTGTAAAAGTGTGCTCAGGAAATGCATCTTCATACCACAAGTGAAAAAAAACCACAAACATTCTCACCTGACTGCCTTCTTTCTGCCAAAATATGGCAGGCTGAGGACTTCCTGTGGCTTCGCATTGAAAGGTCACGGTTCGGCCCATCCCGACCACTTGATTCCTGGGTCGCACCACGAACACAGGAGGAACTGCAGGAATATGAGTTAAACAAATCAATTACCAAAGATCAATTCATTTTGACTCTTAGTATGTAAAAAACAAAAATTGCATTACATTAATGCACTTACAGTGGAAGTCTATGGAGCTTGATGGTTTAAAAGCAGATGTGCAGTGTTTATTTTCTAAAATATGTATTTGCATTTCATTAAATCATCTTTCTAGCACCTGGTACCTAGTACCTGCTTTCTATTTGAAAATATTCCAAAATGTGATTTATTCCTGTGACGCAAAGATGAATTTTCAGCATCATTATTCCAGTCTTCAGTGTCACATGATCCTTCACAAATCACTCTAATATGCTGTTTTGGTGTTCAAGAAACCTTTCTTATTATTATCAATGTTGAAAACAACAATATTTCTGTGGAAAAACTGATAAGTTTTTTTTTTTTCCAGAATTCGTTGACAAACAGAAAAGTCAAAAGAACAGCATTTATTTGAAATATAAATCTTTTGTAGCATCATCAATGTCTTCACAGTTTTTTTAATCAATTTAACGCACCCTTGATGAATAAAAGTATTAATTTCTTTAAAAAAAACTAGTACCTGCTTTCTATTTGAAAATATTCCAAAATGTGATTTATTCCTGTGACGCAAAGATGAATTTTCAGCATCATTATTCCAGTCTTCAGTGTCACATGATCCTTCACAAATCACTCTAATATGCTGTTTTGGTGTTCAAGAAACCTTTCTTATTATTATCAATGTTGAAAACAACAATATTTCTGTGGAAAAACTGATAAGTTTTTTTTTTTTCCAGAATTCGTTGACAAACAGAAAAGTCAAAAGAACAGCATTTATTTGAAATATAAATCTTTTGTAGCATCATCGATGTCTTCACAGTTTTTTTAATCAATTTAACGCACCCTTGATGAATAAAAGTATTAATTTCTTTAAAAAAAACAAACAGTAGTGAATATATAAATATTTTAGTATTTGAATATAGTACATACATATTAACATTTTTAAATATCCAGTGTAAGTGCATTACACTACACAATTTTGTCAAAATTATTTTCTATCTACGTCTGTGTCAACATTTCTATCTTAACATTTCTTTACACAATGCTATGAAATGACTTGATGAGCATATTGTTCTTTCCTGTTGAAATATCTTTTATTAAAACAGGAAGTCGGGTCAATAATCTTTAGTTTACGTCACAGATTCAGCCGCGACATTCTTGTTTTTTTATAGATCACTGGAGTCATTCATATTTTTGGTCCTAGAAGAGAAAGACTGAATTTTATAAAGGCATTTCAGCCTCTACAAGCAAGTCTCTCATTTTGATTTCAGGGGGTCTTTGACATCAGCCGAATTTCTTGCGTATACGATAAATACACTGGAGACTGACAGAGCTCAACCCTTCAGCGTCACATTAACGGCAGGCGATAAAAGAAGAGTCATACTGCTGTTTAATGGATGGATGTGCAAGTATGCCGAAACATAAAAACAGATGTAGACGCAGTAAAAAAAACTGCTTCATTTGCATGGGCAAGGGCACAAAGCAATAAAATTTACATGGAGATGGGGGATGAATTTGGGCCATCTGTCCCGTGCTGACACACTTTAATGGCACTGGCGTTGTGTGGGATGCAGGTTTTTCATGCATCTTAATAACAAACTCCGTCTTGACTTCCGCGTCCGTAACAGCACGGAGCCATTTCAGCTTGTAATAAGGACTAATATTTTCATAATATGTGACACAAAGTATGACCCCAAGCACCACATACACCGCAGCACTAAACCAATCTTACACCTGTCAAATCACACACTGCCGTAGTGCGTCCAGAGGAACAAAGAAAGAATTTTCAACTAAGTGAGAATAAAATGAGGCGATTTTGACGTTACCTTGTACGCTCCGAGCGAGCATTAGTTTTACCCAGGCCTGCTGTGCTGTCACTGTTGACAACCCAGACAAGCGTGCTGATTGGTGGGAGGATGGAAGGTGGATGGATGGTGGTTCTGACAACTTCCTGTTGCTGTCAATGCAGCATAAATGGTGACGGGTGACATTTGCAACTTACCAGACACAACTGAAAGAGGAAAGAAAAAAATAGAAGCACGATAAAACACAGATGTGATAGATGCGCAAATAAACCGCACATGACATGAAGCAAAAATGACAGGATATGCTTACAGAACAAAATCAGTGCAGTGATGTATTTATGAGAATAAAACACAAAAACATACACAAAACATAAGGTGTGGCAAGCACACACATGTTGTAAATATATCATGAGCTGAAATATATGGCAGAAACCACACAGAGAAACAATTCTATCAGTCATGAGGTATGAATGGAGGTTTTATTCTTCTGGTCTGGCTAAAGATTTTATTAGGTGGACAACGTAAGCTGGGGTCTGGCCCTTTAAAAGCTGCAGTGTGTCATTTTTTTTTACCAAAAATGGCATGCGTTTAGGGGCGTGACTATCTGTTTATCTGAATATTAGCAGACAATTATTTTAATATTTTCAAATAGTTTTATTTTTTTCATACACACTGCTCTGGGTGTTTGTTCACGGTGTGTGTGTGCACTTAGGATGGGATAAATGCAGAACACTAATTCCGAGTATGGGTTACCATACTCGGCCACATGTCACAATCACTTTTTCACTTTTTATTATTTTATTTGTTTCCGCTGCACTCCTAAAAATGTTCTTTATTGGCATTGATGGTCCCATGAAGAAGCTTTAAAATTCATGGAAGCTTTCCATTGCACAAAAGGTTCTTTAGATTACTAAAAATGTTCTTCACATACACAGCACTAACAACAACAAACTTGATCTAGTTTTGATTCAGTTTTATCGTAATCAGCCCTATCGCATTCCAAAAACGTCTTAGTTACACATTGTCCGAACGCTGGAATGCGTGACATTTCTTTGCCTTTTTTAGCCAATGTTAAGCACTAAATTTGTATTCTCAGGAACCCTGTCTACAGTTTGATTAAAAATAACAAACCCCCCAAACCACCTTTAGCTTTATTCCACACAAATACACCACATGGAAAACGAGCAGTGGCGTGCACATCAAAGTCACTCTTTTAACGACAAAAGAGGCCTGATTGATCCCGTTACTTAATTTCCCACACATTCAATTAGAAAAACCTAATTGGTGGCCCTGGTTTAAAGCATTAAATCAGCAGAGAGCAACTTTTCAGCTCGTGAACGCTGGCGAAGGCAAACTTTCATTCCCACGTGCATTTCCAATCAGATGAATGGGCTCCATTAATTTTCCCTGACAGAGTCGGACGTGACGCAGTTTAAACACTCATCAGCAGAAGCCCTAATCGGCCTTCATTTGCTTGAAAAATGCAGCAGAAGCAATTGTTATCCACCTGCATTAAATAATGGAACTTCTTTTTGCTGTGTCTCTTTTTATTAACAATTAGCAGGTCTTCGTTAGTAACGCTAAATTGGAAATTAGGAAGGGACCTGGCTTAATTTGCAAAAACAAGGCTGAAATGTGAAGCCCATCATTTTAATAAGGCACTTACACTAAGTTTTTAAAAAAAAAGGGTTATTTAAGCTGTAATTTTGTTTAAATCATCAATTTTGTGGTGGGACTACAGAAACTTCTGGTATCCCAGAAATCCTGTCAGCTGACCTAAATTGTTCATGCTCAGACCATGCAAGATGTAGATTCTTTTTTGTTTTGTTTCTTCATCTGAACGCATTCAGAGAAATGTAGCATTTCAGTACATCACTTGTTCACCAATGGATCCTCTGCAGTGAATGGGTGCCGTCAGAATGAGATGTGATAAAAACATCACAAAAATCCACAAGTAATTCAAAACACTCCACTCCATCAATTAATGTCTTACGAAGTGAAAAGCTGCATGTTTGTAAGAAACAAATATATCAAGAAGTTTGTGTGCATTACTTGTGGATTATTGTGATGTTTTTTATTCAGCTGTTTGGACTCTCATTCTGACGGCACCCATTCACTGCAGAGGATGCATTGTTGAGCAAGTGATATAATGCTTAATTTCTCCAAATCTGCTCTGATGAAGCAAAAATGTTCATTTTTGAGTAAACTATCCCTTTAACCAGCCAGTGTAAAATAAGGCTCTTCCCCCAGCTAGATGAGCACCATACCAGTACTAACCCAGTCTAGAAAGTTGGAAACACTGTCAGATATCCTTACCGTTATCCTCTCGTCTCTGTCGTCTATAGTGACTCCATCTTTCTTCCAGGAGATGGTGGGTTCGGGGTGACCACGGGGCGGCTGGCACTCCATGACCGCTGGCTCACCCGCCGCCACCATCACGTCCACAGGGTTCTGTCTGAAATCATCTCGAAGAACTGATCGAAAGAGAGAAAGAAAAAGAGATATTAGAAACATGAACAGCATTTCTATCAGGAAACCATTCATGCAAATGTTTAGAAGACAGGAATAACAAATTAGAAACCACCAGAGGAACATGTTTCTACTCTTGCCCAGCACAAACCACCTCTAATCTATTTCAAACATACAACGATTAAACCTAAACCTTTTGTTTACAGTAGCTAAAAAGGCACAAAGGAGGGTTTGAAACATAAAGTGCTCTTCCTGCATGTAAGTGATATTAATGTAGGACACAAGTGAGCAGTGAAGAATGAACATTCATCTAAACCACTGCTCAAGTGCGCGATAAAGTCTAATATCTGCTCACACGAACGCACTGTATATTCCAGAGCCTAAGCATGTTAGTCAACCCTGTTAGCCTTCTGATGGATTTACTTAAAGCGTTTCCATTAATCCGAGACAACATTCCTTTCAGTGTCATGTAGATACTGTACAGCAGCACATTAGATTAGTCCAATGCTTTAAATCATATACACATGACATGGGAAAAGCACGTGCTGAAACATAGCAACTTGAAATGTGATGTTTTCCAAAACCTAGTCAAGCTGCCAACCCGTGGGGTCAAGTCAATGTGAAATCAAAATGGACCACATTTGCTTTTTTGTTTTTGTGCACATTATATATATACAATAGTCAATTAAATATATTTTTATGAATAAATAATTGTAATTGTATAAATGTTACATAGATCAGTATTTCTGCACTTTTCATTTCAGGTACATGTAAGTTGATAAACGCAAACATCTTTCAGCTCTCACGCCCCTGAACGTGTTCCTGTCGGCTCGATTAACCTAAGCGCTAGATCAAAGTGTGATGCTCAAGGTAACC